CTTGGTCCACAGAAATGGTTTATTTTATAGACAGGTCAGGCTGCATGGGTATACGCTGTGCTTAGTAAATGCCGTGTTGATTTTATTCGCCTATCCTGCTGCACCCACGTCTTTTAATTGTTTTCTTTCCTTCAGACTGTTTTCTAAAGCCGTGGTAATGCTGATGTCAGCCTAGCAGGCTTGTTGCTGCCTGAATCCTGTGTCCTAGCCAAGCTCCTCAATGCAGGCGCTGGATTTGCTGTTGTGGTTGCAGAGAACCTCCCTCCATAATTAAGAGTTTCTGCAGCCAAGCCAGCAAATTCTTTCACTGGTGCTTCCAGAAGCCTGAGATGGGCATGATCCAGTCTCTCCCTCACCTCACACATGTCTGGCTGTCTTCACAATCAACTAGTACACTTATATATTCACAGCTTTAAAACCCATTCCCTTTTCCAAAGAGAGCTGGCAGGTCATTGAAGCCCCAGATCCTGCTGCGGTATTGATGTCTCAGCGCTGCAGGAGAATAGCTTCAGTTTTGATGGGACAGCACTAAAATCTGGGCTGTGGAAAGAAAAGAGGGAGGGAGTGCGTTGCCTTAAAAAGCCCTGAAGGAAAGACTGAAAACACAGGAGGCTCCAAAATGTACCTGAGCTACCTTTCAAGCTCGTCTCAGTCAGTGATTTCTGGTCAATGTGACTGCCTTAGCATGGGTTTTCAGTCCCTTGCTCTGCATCACTCCTCTTCCCTTGCCTCATGCTTTGAAGATGCAAAGGACAAACGTGACATTTCCTTCTGCCTGTCTTAGTGAAAAACATTTTGGATTTGGATCATGGACATAAACTGTCTTGATAGTTGTTATCCAAGTGGCAATGCCGCGGTTGCCAAGGGTTGATGTTTTCTCCCCATTAGAAACTTGATATTCCTTGGCTAAGTGATATCCCTGCTTTCGGATGCAATTGTGGCGATGCTAAATTTCCAAGGATTACCATTGCATGTGGTGGAATCTGGGAACCTCAGTAACAAGCTATAAAGTCAGGAAGAAAGCCAGGATGTGAAGATCTTGGCAGCTCCTCCATGATGGAAGACCCTGCTGTACTCAGGGCTGTGGTGCCAAAATGCAGCACAAACCATTAATTTAGTATGATGATACTCCCTCCTCAATGGTGTCATATATTTCAGTATTCCTTGGTCTTCCCAAACTTCTTGGAGTCCCAGGAGCATCTGAGGAATGGCTAAGCCAACGGTACAGGGAATGGGGTGATTGACTCACGCTCACCATGAACAAGTGGAAGAAGATGGATGTGTAAATGCCATTGCCCATCTGCCGCCTTCCTCCCTTCTCCTCCTCACAGTCCAGGCTGCATCCCAGATCTGATGGAAAAAACAGGCACAGATCAAGACTCGAGCCTTTCCACAGCTCTCCGTGCACGTTTGCTTTTTCTCTCCAGCTGTGCAGCTCAGCCAGCTGTGGAACTCCTTGAGTTTGACCTTCCTAAGGTGGGCCATTGCCTGCTTGGGGTAGGTGGTGAAGGTGAGGACAGGATGGAGACAGGAATTTGGAAACAGGATGGGGAGAGACCCCAGGATAGGAGCACACTATGGAATTCCATGATGAGGTGGTTGAGATGGAGAGGTTTTGTGTTCAAATGATGGCTGAGCTGTGTTCATAGAGCTGCACGATGAAGAACTGGGGTCTGGCAACGGCAGAGGAGTGGGAGGGGAGCGCATCAGCAGAGATGTTGCAGGTGCTGGGGCTGATGGATGGCGAATGGGGGACGGCCACAGCTTGAGGTCATGGGGTAGAGCTGTGTTAGGTGGCAACCTGTTCTGGAGGGGGCTGGACTCTGCTAAATCACCGTCTACGGCTCCGACTGACTCAGGCAGGACGCAGCAGCCCTGCCATGCCGGCTGCTCTGGTGTGGCTCTGCTCAGTGATCCAAGATGCTTTAGGGATGCTTTGGGCACTGGCGGCCAGGACTTGTCTCCACCTGAGCACACGCTGCGGCCACAGGCATTTGCAGCTGCTCTGACCCCAGCCCTGCAAGGGCGGCTGCTTTGGTCCTGGGGGACACACGGATCAGCTGCTGCCCTTCGCATCCCATGGTGTCGGCACGGCGCTGCGCTGAGCTACACATGGTTGCAGCCACTGCATCTCCCCATCTGCTGCAGAGTTTAACGCTGTCTTCAGAAGGCATCCTCACGGCTCGGCCAGGAGCCCGTTTGCTTTTCTCCTCGGGACGCTGTGTGTAGCGCAAGCAGACGGTTTCCGAGGGGGGAGACTTCCTGTGGTTGGAGCCTTCTCAAACGCTGCCGTCGGGCCAGACGTTTGCTCTGAAGGGTTTGGCGAGAGCCCCGGGCTGGGGATGGCGTCGTGGCTTTGGAGAGCAAAAGCTGTGGAGATGCAGAGTGTGGGGGGCTGGCGGCGCCCCCCTGCCAGCTCAGCGCATCCAGGCTCCTCCGACCGCACGGGAGCAGCCTGGCAGCTTTTTTCCTTTACTTTTTTTTTTTGCATCTTTTTTTTTCTGGAACGCTGGGCAGCATGAGCAGAACAGGGCTCCTAGGGGGTTTGTTGCTATCCGGAGAAGATGGCTTGTTCTCTGCCAGATCTTGCGCTGGGGAGAGGCTGGAGGAAATCCATTTTGCAACGTCTCTGCTGGGGCTGTTGGCGAGAGTCCTGTGAGGTGCAGCAGCCCCGGCCAGGCTTGTTCCCTGCCTCAGCAGCACCAAAAGGCGCAGCCCAGAGCGGTCAGAACACAGATCTGACCTGCCCGACCTCCGCTCACTCCCTGCTTTACTGCAGATTTGCTCTTTGTTCACCCTAAAGAGCCTCCCACCAAGCCAGCTCGCTCCTCCGGGCCATGACCTGACCCTGCACCAGGCGCTGAAGTCTTCCCCTGGGAACACATCTCCACATGCCCATGCACATGGCCAGAACAAGCAATTTGCATTTCTAGCAGCTTCGGGTCAGCCTGAACCACCCGGCCTTCGCTTATGTCCCTCGTAAGAAAGGTTCTGGTTGATGCACGTGTTAAAACAAACGCCTCCACGTTGCTTTTACTAAATATAGGACGAGTGTCCGCTGCGGCGCGGGGTGGGGACAGCCCACAGCGGGGTCACGCTCTTAAATCAAACAGGAGTTTATCAGCCCCAGCCAGGAAAGGGACTGGAGTTTAATGCTCTCTGCTCGCAGATTCGAGCTGCAGCGAGTCGAGTTTTCAAGGTCGATCTAATTCCCTGTCATTTGCAGACAGCTGAGCCTGGAAATGGGAAACAGGACTCCTCTAGGACGAGCATCTCAGCCCAGCACTGTGTACGTTGGCCCTTCCGCTTATCTCTCATTAGCACAGATGCCATTTCAGCCTCCTGTGGGGTAACTGATACAGGGGATTGAGGAAGAAACTGAACCTCCTCGTTGAGTCACATCTTGATCAGGCCAGTGCTGCAGGAAGTCTCATTTCCCACGAACGTGCAAGCGTATGTGCACTGCTGATGAAATCTTGTGAGGTCAGGCAGTCATTTCCCCCTAATTACAGCTCCAGGAATGAATAATGTTTAGCTTAGACCCTGGTGACTTTGTGCTTTGGAGCCATTTTCATTTAAGCAAAATATAAGCACATGAAAACGAAGATGGGATTTGGATTTTTCCTTCTGATTGTTGTGGTTAAAAAGGTGCCATCTGGGGCTCGTGTAACAAATTTGTTTGATGATGGGCAGTGAATGGAGAGATCTGGAGCCCGAAATTGTTGTGCAAAAGCCTCTATGTTAGAAACTTTCATGTTGTCACAAACGGTTTGAGAGAGATGCTTTTCCCTCCATCACATACATCCCTCTGAGATGTTAGATGGTCCCTGTAGGACCAGGAACTTGGAGGACTGGAAGAACCTCCTAGACCATGATCTCCTGAATGATGTGTCCTATCATCCCCTTCAGAAGAAATATCTTCTTCCATTTGAAAACTCACAGAGTGATTTCTTCCATGGAAGCCAACACCAGGGCTGCACAACCTGACGGTTAGAAACCTTCTCCTCATATGAGAATTGTTGTGGCATCCTCTGCCAGTGGAGAGGGTCAGATACAAGAAGCAGAGGGTAGGTGAGAGGTGGGACATCTGCTCAGCAGTGTTACTCCAAGTGAGAGCCTGCGCCCCTGTCGTGGCTGGCTCCATGTATTAGGTTCGGGATATCCATGTGGTTCTGCCAACACTGTGCTGGAAGCAGATCCCTGGGGCTGAGAGATGGCAGCTGAGGTAGATGCTTCATAGCCTGGAAAGTGGTTGCATCTCTACGTAATTTAGGAGCATCTGTTGCTGACTGGGTGTCCGGCACCGCATTCCTGGCTGGCCAGATCCAACCTCACCAGGTTTTGGTGATGCAGCAAGTAATCCTCCAACATCAAACCAGTCAATCTGTGTGGCAGGGAAGGGGTGAGGACTGCTTGGGTGGCTTCTTCAGCTTCAAAAGCTTGAGGAGATGTTGCTATTTAGAAGAGGGAAAAAAAGGAAATAAAATAGCAAATAAGAACTTAAAATGACTTATCACAGTCAGACGAAGCATCTAACCAATTTGTCCGTTAATGACCATGTCTCCGAGCCTGGAAATGCAAACTCCGAGCCCGTGGGTGTTGGTTCTGCCCCTTATCTCTGCAGAGGACAGATGCCATCTCACCCCTTGTGGGGCCACAGCAATGCTGGTTGGGGTCCTGTCACCTCCTGGGTCATTCTCTTGCCAATGCAGCCTGCGCACTGGCATTTCCCAAATGCACATGGAAATTGTAACAAGCGGTTGTCTTTATTTATGGTCTTTTACTTGTTTAAAGGTTAGGTTGGGACCTTTTGAACCCTAACTGCAGGTTTTGTTCAAAAAATAAGGGGGAGGGACAAGAATTGCTTGAGCATCTTCTCCCAGAACCAAAGGGATTTGTCTCTTCATAAGGACGTTGCCTCATCCTGACTCAGGCATCTCCAGAGGGGGTGAGAGAAGCAGCACCCCCAACCCCTCTGATTTTTCTCACTCCTTTTCCAGCCACAGAAAATGGGATTGTGAGATCCACCTGGCAAGGGAAGGCTGGTCGCAGCCCACTCCAGGCTCTGTACGAGAATGACCAGGTAAGGGGACAGGGAGAGGGAGATGGGAGGTGAAGAGGGAGTGGGGCACTGGGGGTTGACCCCCTTCTTCCACCCTTCTGGTGTGCAGGGCCCCGTGCTGTCTCTAACCAGCCCCAAGGTCCCCTGAGCCTGAACCTCTGGCCATGTCCAGAAGAAAAAACCACACCACTTTGGGGAGTAATTTTTGATTAAAAAAATGCTATGGCCCTTGCTGGTACTTGGGCAAATGGTTTCATTACCGGTGGGCTGAGCCATAGCTAGGCAAACTCAGGAGATTTCGCCATCAGAGGATTTCAAAGCCGACTGTGGGCCATCATAGCAGGGCAAGTGCATGATTGCTGCACTTCCTGAGCTAATAATCGATAGATGCTTCTATGTTGGGTGCTATAGATGTACACACGCATATGTGTATGCATGTATAGATAAAGCTAGACCCAGCCATGAGGGGTTTATAATCCTGGGACATCTCAGTCCTCTCCATGACGCTGGGCTGTGCCAGCTTCACCTTCTGAGAAAGGGGCAGCTGGGCACAGACTGGGCAGGCAAACGCTCCCCTCCAGGTGGGCTCAGCAGGTCCCTCCCTACACCAGGGTCTGCTGCAAGACAAGCCATGGTCACACCAGTGACCCAGCATTGGGAAGATGTCCTGCTTGCCCTTAGCAGCTGAATAGGAAGCTTGGGGCTTTGTGGTTGAAGCTGCAAAAGGTGTGTTTGTTTCCTTCTCCCGCGTTCCCCCTCGCATGGGCAGTTTTCTCCCCATGAAGCCAGACTTGTCTTTGCAGAGGGATCCTCATCCACAACTTCCCTGCAAGAAGTCCTGCAGGAAACCACCCTCCAGCTGGTGCAATGGGCTGGGCCATGGCCATGTGCCCCAGCCACCGACTGTGCCCTGCATCTCCCCACGTCCACAGGGCAGTCATCTACCTCAGCTCCCAAGAAGCAGAGGGCAATGCTGGTGGTCCTTGCAGATGGCTGCCATCCCCACTGCCCATTGGCAGTGCCCACTGCAGCCGAGCCAGATCTCCTTTCCATATGTGACGCCTTGTGTTACTGTCTAGGTTGACGCTTTAATGTCTGTAAGCAGCCGAATAACATTTGCTCTGGGAAAAATGGCAGATGCGAGCTTCCTTGGCCACGATGCCAGCAAATCCTAATGCTGCTGGAATGTTATTTCCTTAAAAGTGATACTTAATTTCTCTGGCTTTTAAATAAAAGGAAATGAAGGGAGTAATTTTGCTGTGAAATAACTGCAAGACGTGCACTTATTCCAGTGAGTGGCTGTTGAGAAGTAGTCACATTTATTTGTTGCCATGCCTGCAGACAGTGTGTCTGTCTGTCTCTCTGGTCCAATAGTTTTGAATTATGCAAGTGCAGGGAAAAACACCTGAAAAAAAAATCACATTATTAAAATTCCTCTTTCTTTTTGAGCACTTGCAAAAAAGGTTTACCAATTGTAA